ACCTACTGCATTTAGTGGAACAATCATATGTTGTTTGCATAGCAGTATCATTCAGTGACAGTAACTGAACAATACTGATTCCATTTTTCTAATTCTGAGAGCAGGTTAGTGATGGCAGACTACACCAGGCAGAATTATTTTGACACTGATTCTGTATTTTTTGCACAACAGATATTAAAATGTTAGAAGATTGTTTAATCGCTTCAACAATTAGCCACTTAATATTTTGGGTTTAATTAATATATGTCAGTATACAGATAATATGTGGCTAGAGTTTAAGACTGAAGATCACTATAAATGCAGTTACTTCAGTAGGTCCTTCATAATCCTTACTGAAGATCCTCTGTAGCCACCACCAAAGTGGTTCCAGTGATTCAAATAATGAAAGAGTTGGTAAAGCTGGTTTCTTTCTGCAAACCCTGGTGCCTGAGGAATCTTGTTATGGTAAGCAGAGTAAAAAGAGCGGTGGTGCGATAAACCAGTGGTTTGACAGGGGGGCAAACACTTGTTCACACAGGGCTATATAGTTTTGGATTTTGTTTTCCCTTAATAATAAAAACCTTCATTTAAAAACTGCATGATGTGTTTACTTGTGTTATCTTTGACTAATATATAAATTTGTTTGACGATCTGAAACATTATAGTGTGACAAACATGCAAAAAGATAAGAAATCAGTAAGGGGGCAAACACTTTTTCACACCACTGTATGTTTTGTTTCTGATGGGGTCAATGGGAAGGTGTACCTGTAGCTTGGCCCATAGTTCTCTGACCTCTCTGTCTCCATAAGATTTCTCCACCATGTTAAGCTGGTGCTGCAGCCTTTGCTGGGAGAAAAATGTCACCCAGTCATCCTGCCAGTCATTTACCTGGGGAGGTTAGGTAAAAAAAGACTATAACATCTCAATGACTTAGAGACCATAATACTGTATACAAATGTACTACAGCTTAGAGAATACAGTACACTTACAGTGCACAGATATTTTACCTGTGGTATATATCCACAGCATGTAGTTACATCAAATCCAAATTTTTCAACAACAGGAGCCTCCAAGTGCCCGACACCCTTTCCTGTGTACAATCAAATGAGGTACACTGGAAATCTCATATGAATATGTAACTAACTCAGAGTTAATATTTGAGAGTTAACTGCTATACAGTACTGGCAAACAAGATCAAAGATGATTTTGCATTTGACTTCGTGTGAACTAAAGTGAAAAAGTGTGAAGGGAGGTGAATTACCTACTGTCTGCTGCTCTTTATTTAATTGTTCCAACTGTTTCTTGTTGTGAAGATGCAGATCTGCCAGCTGCTCCCCTAAGTGCTGTGAGTACCTGCATATTGGGGTCAAAAATAATGCAGTTAATTTTTAAAAAGAACAAATAAGATACTATATTTTCATGTCTCCTTCCACTCTAACCTGCATACAGTGGTGGTACGGATACAGTACTAAACAAATAACGTAAGAGAGCTCTTACTTGCTAAGACCTCTTATGTCCAGATGTTCCATCACAAATGCACATCCTCCTGTGTCAAGCTGAATCACCTTCACAGGCTTGGGGACTTTAACAGTTTCTGTCTTTAAAATTGCTTCCAAACTGGCCATCTCCCCATCAAACATTACTTGGGCCTGAACACAACAGAAACATAGTTTGGTCTGGTGAGCAGTGGCACAGATGGACTCTAGCTGCTGAAGCAAATCCTATGGTGAACCAGCCACCAACTAGAACATATGCAATACATTAAAATATATTTTTTAAAAATGATAAAATAATATTACCCCACTTTTATGATTTATTTTAACAAACACTCTCCCATTGTCAGTATCATAACTCTGGCCTTGGCTGATGCATCCACCTCCTGAATGACCAGTTGACTTCAGCATAGTTGTTCCCAGCTCTTTCTTTAACTTGGCCTCCATGGTTAGCTCCAGAAGCCAATTCTAGTATAAATACTGATGTGCTAACCCCAGCAACAAAGTAAAACTGCAGTGCTGGAAATTGCTCGTACTCTGCGTCTACGGTGCCCTCAGACGCGCTTGTTTTTCTTCCGTTTGGTGACTGTTAACCAATCAGAAAAAACGCCGACTGTTGTGCTTTGCCCTATCACAGTGAAGTACCACAGTCACGTGAACGTCGCCATGGTGCCGAGAGTGGCTAAATGCTACATGTTTCGCTCATGGATGTGTTTTCGTTATGCATGTGCTGTAAAACCGAAATGAGCAGCAATGAAATTTGTTTGCTTCTTGGAGCGACTGGTGTCGGCAAAACGTTGTTGCTAAAACGTCTGCAAAATATCCTTTCTGTCCAGCTGAATATTTTGAACTAACACTACAATTATAAAAAAGTAAATAGTTAACCTAGTTTGCTAATTTAGCCCAATAGGCTGTGGTTATAGTAGTAGTTAGTAAAGTTAGCATAAATTAACTCGGTAGTGTCAAGTAACGTTGGGTAACGTTAATACATAAATATACAGTGCATTATAGCTAGCTAAGTATTACAAATGGTCTTTTCAATCGATGTCAGGTGAAACATACAAATGCAGTTAAGCTAACGTAACAAAAATATTTGTAGACACCCATTTGAAATAAGGTAACATTAGCTGTATATCATATATATATTATATATTTTGAAACCAAGGCGCTGGCTCCTGTGGACTCGTTCTTAACAGATTTTATTTAAAGCTGAGCTTACATGGACTAGCTGAACTGGGACCACCTCCGCCTACTCATCCTACAGTAAGTGTTAAAGACGACGCTCGATAAAAGTAGTTTTTAGAGCAAGTTTGTAGACTCCGTTTTGATGTGATAACCCATCCATCCACAGGTAGGAACCAACCTGACAGACCTGACACTGAAGAGGAAGAAGAAAGTGACTGTGCGAGAGCTGGGAGGCTGCATGGGACCCATATGGCCTAGTTACTTCGAAGACTGCTCCTCTGTAATTGTATGTGTTTGTATACGTACCACATTTATTTGACAGAATTAAATAAAGTTACTGCAGGAATTATTTAACTGAATGTCTTTTTCTCTGGGTTTTGTTTTTCAGTTTATGGTGGACTCTGCCAACATCAGTCAGGTGTCCTCCTCCTGTATCCAGCTGCTCACAGTACTCTCTGCTGAGCCTCTGCACAGTGTCTCTGTGCTTATTCTTTTCAACAAGAAGTAAGACTCTAAGCTTATACACCAGTGGCAATCTGTGTCCAGTGTCATAATTCTGTTGTTCTTGTCATTACATATCTACTTATTTTTGCTTTTTATTCCGCCCATTTTCAGGGACATGCCTTGCACTATGACTCTTACAGAGATAAAATCATTGTTCAGAATGGATGACATCATTGCATCTGCTACTCAGCCAATCACAACACTGGAACTAAGTGCTTGCACTGGTCAGGGACTTCAAGATGTGCTCAGCTGGCTGGAGTCCATCACAGTCAAGTGATATACCTCATGTCTGTGAGTTACGCTGAAAAAGTGCTGCTGCTCGCTTAGAACTTTCAATAAGTGATGCCAATATCCCCAGAATGGTAACACCACCATTAATTATGTGTTTGGTGTTAGATTCAGTGAAAAGGTGCAAGACATATGACAAGAAAACTATTAATGCTGCATTGTTGGTATGATAAATATAGTGAGTCTTCATTAGGGTGACACTGGAGGAAACTGTGTACTACTCTAAATAAAGACTCATCTTTGTCTGAAGTAACATAAGCGCTTGCACTTCAGTTGTAACGACTAGGAAAATGTAACAAATGGGATGCAGCATTGTAGTAACGACTTATTACCAGCAGGGGGCATAAGGTGCACAACAAATGCTGAACTAGTACTGGGTGTGTCCCCATGTTGTGATGAGTTCAAATCCAATGTGAAAATGCATAGCAATAAAACCAACTGAAGAATGAAGCAGTGTTATACCCTTATATTTTGAGTCAGTAGTTCACAAGCTATTAATAAAATTTGATCTAAACATTTCTTAATGTTGCCCTGCTTATAGTGTATTCCGAAGCACGTACAGTCCGCCCAAAAGTATGATTTTATTCAGTTAACCCCAACAGTTCATTTCACCATAATACAATGTATACGCTGATGTTTTTCATCAGTTGTGATCAAACAGAAGCTCCATGAAGTTAACAGAGTTGATTGATATTATAATATTAACCTCCAGTAATATTTCCAGAGCTGGACAGGTCTTTTAGAAATGGTTCTCCATTAGAAATATTTCTTTACAGGGGCTGGAGTATATGACAGCAGCAAAGGCCAGCTAAGCCAAACATTCATATACATATATATATATGGGGGGGAGGGGGGCTGGCAGTCTTGATGACTAACTGAAAAACTGTTAACACATTTGCTTGGCTATTATGACTCTGGAGAACAGCAGAGATGACACATGATTATCAAACTGTGCTTTTCTATAGTTTTGCATCTGAATTCATTTAGCAACAGGTTATGTCTTTTTGACATTAACATTTTGTGATACAAAGGTGTTACCTCATTTATACCTTGTTACTGTATTTGTGACAACAGGAGCTGAATAGTGAAGAGCAGAACCAGCTTGCATCAGTCCAAGAGTTACTGTTTTAGACCACAATATAAAAACACATAGGAATAAGGAGTTTTCACACAAGTCCTCAGGACTGCTGTTTGATCTGTAATTGGAGTGATCATGTTAAGAACATTACCTAATGGCATTCCCCTTTCTCTAAGCTAATTTCTCCAGTTCAATTGGCCCTCACAAGAAAGGGTTCTGGCTGCTCTGTGCAGCTTGTGGGCCCTGAGTGCTGGCTGATGAGAAGGGCAACAAGGGCTCAGGGAGGTTCCCTGGCAGGTCCAGACCAGGCTGGGTGGGGTGAGTAAGGGACAAAGGGAGGTTGGTGGGCTCATGGCTCATAGGCAGGGGCAAGGAGGCACTGCATGGAATTGAAGTGAGAGGAGCCGAAGAGGTGGAGCTGGAGCCCATTTGATTCAGAGTTAGTTTGGACTGCTCACTTTGGAATGGATTGGTGGGTGAAGGAGCACTCAGGCCTGGACAGAAAGAAACAAAAACAGAAAAGTATTGGCTTTACTTTAAGCAGTTATTTAATTTTCATTTCTGAGACTGGGTCTGGAACATTATAGATCAATTATTTCTGCCAATTAGTCAACTTGATGTTTTTGTACTGAATTTAGTTTAATGCTGAAGCTCCAAGCAGAGGATTATATGAATTTGCCATTTCCTTAATTAATAAGGTTCCTCTTCAGTCATACACGCCTAGGGTTTGAATAGCAACAAAGAGAGATTTTAAAAGGCCGTATTTTTCAAGTCAAATATTATTTATGTAGCCCAAAGTCAGAAATCACAAATTTACTTCAGGGGGCTTTGTGTATATTTATTAACTACAGAAACACAGTAGCTCCATGGAAGCACCACTACATGGTTGACAGTAATGTACACATAATTTACGAGTAATGAAACACCCCAGGCTGATTTAAACCTAGGGTTGCCAATAGCACAATAATACCTGATAAAAAGGGGTTCTTGGTCTTGGGTGGGGGATTTGCTGGAATCAGGCTGTCCAGGTTTACCAAGGAAGCTGCTGCAGGGTCCAGGAATGACTCAGGTGTCTGGCATGTACGATTGCTAGAGGCAGCCAGGCTTTCCCTAAGGTGCGACAGGTCAAAGAGCTCTAGACTATCCTCCTCTTGGCCGTTGATATGACCTCCATCCATGGCCTCATCAAACAAATCTCCATCTGACAGCAGAAAAAGAGAGTGTGTGAGCATGTGGGATGCACAAAACAATAATAAGTAGAGAATGTGTTGTTTACCTGACGGGCTTCCGGTTCTTGGAGAAGGTTCTTTGATAGGTCCCCTGAGTGTGGTTTCTGATGGGGCTGAGAATGGATCAGTTCCTGAGGAGGTTAGCAACAATGAAAAATGCAACTTAATTTATTTATTGTGAAATAATTTATAGAAATGATATATGACTCCTACTGTATTTGCTGTTGACTGAGCTATATGAGCACATCTATGCACATACACTATGCACTGACCTGTGTTTGCAGGGTAGGACAATACTCGGCCTGTGACACTGGGGTTGGAGACATGGTTTGGCGGGGCATCCCAGGGGTCGGTTGGAGGCTCCCATGGAGGTGGAGGGCTGCTTGAAGTTGGTGGTACCATCCAGGGAGAATCTGCTCTTGAATGATTGCCGCTGCCTTCTTTAATAACCGTGAGGTTAAGAACAGTCGATAAGAAAAAGAAAAAAACTCATACTTGAAATCAATCAAGCCAAACATTTTTCTGTCCTCAAATAATAAACATTTTATGAAGGTGATATAATTTAGAACTTTGTGCTTAAACATGTAATGGTAAGCTAATTCAGAGCTCACCAAGGGAGTCCCAGGGGTCTCTGCCCTGGTGGCTAGCTGCTGCCTGGTGTGAGATGTTATTCCAGCGATGGTCACTAGGAGGCACTGCAAAAACATCTACCAGGTCCATGAAGGAAGTCTGACCACATCAGAAAGAAAAAAATAAATAAATCAGCGATAGTTCACTCTAGTTCCTCAGAACTTACTGACAGTTCTTTTATGATTGCTAACAAACTTATTTATGAATTTTATAAATAAATTGAAATGTTCACAATGTAATCGATGGATGAGCTATGAAACCTGATCAGTCCATCATCATCATCATCATCACCATCATCATAAACCATGATACGGTTGCTGATTTGGTTCTGGTCCTATTCTAAAATGTATGATTACATTTCATCACTCCCACTGAGATATTTTAAACCCCAATATTTCATACCGCGCCTTTAGACTCCATCTCACGTTTGCTCTCCTCCAAAGCCTTCCGCAGCATTGACTCGTCTCCTTGGCGACTGAGTTGCTCCTGTCAACACAGATACACAGACATCTTTAAGCAGGACAGATTCTGGTGAAATTAACATATTGTCACATCATACAATATTTATGACTAAGTGGCAGCACATAGGCACAAAAGCTAGTTTGTATTTTTCCTGGACAAAATATGGCACAGAGATGCATGCAAAAGGCACAAACCAAAAACATATCTGGTTAAAGAGAGGAGAGCAAAGAGCATCACTGTGATCCCTATCAGAGCAGTGCTATTGTTCTACAATATACTGGCATAGTGTGAGAGAAAGTAGAAATTAAAAAAAAGGCAGGATACAAAGACTTCCAGAGAAAATAAGACAAATTAATTTGTATACAATTTAAATAGCGAAGGAAATCCATCCCGATGTTGCCATGGTGACTAACATTTAAGATTTTAAGAAGTGTTTCTAGTGATTCAAATCAATCAGAAAATGATTGTAAATTTAAATGTGATCCCAGCTGACCATAAATCTGACCAGTGCAGTTATCTGCAGCTGAAATTTTATGACTCAGAGTGTGCTGTCGCTTTCAGTTAGTGATTAAAATCTCTGATAAAGTGTTCCCAACATTACCCCCACCCCAGTAACCCCAAGGAACATTACCTGGTGGTGCTCCTCCTTGCTGAGGCTCAGGGCTAACTGGAGCTGGGTTTCCTCATCCATATCCAGTGTGGCAGGTGCACGGTGAACTGGCTGTGGATGTGTTAACCAGGAAGGGAACAGGCATCAGCATTAAGTAAATAAGAGTAGAAATAATGCTTGGGCATCCTCACAGTACACTGCATGCAATTCTGTAGCCGCCCAAAGCAGAGTCAAACCATTTGGCCTTCCATGACACCACAGCAGAGGTCAGAGTGTCTGAGATGGGCATTTCTTACTATTGGTGTAAGAAGAAAGACCTAATGGTTGGTGGAATAGAAGGATGTAGCCTCATTTGGTTAGTCACTGGAGAAAGTTGCATATCTTTTTGGTGTTCAAAAGTGACTGAGGGACGCCATTTATCATATCTAGGGAGGAGAGAATGTTAGGAGTACATGCAGTTGTTTCTCAGAAGGACAAAGACTGGGCCATGGTTTTAGTGGTCAGTTTTAGTGTACAGAGCAATAGGCGATGTGTTATGGGGCAAAAGATGCAAAGGAAGGGTCATCCCTGGTCCCAGTGTACTTGTACCTTCTGGACCTCCTCTTTGCTGAGATTCATAGCGATCTGGAGCTGGGTCTGCTCATCAATATCCATTCGGGGAGGTGGCTAGAGTCAAGCAGGAGGCATTAGGAGGAAGACTAATCAAAGGGAAATGTAAAAGCATGCCTGACTTTGTTGAAGTGATTCATTAAGAAATCATGAAGAGAATACAATTATTTGAGGTGATTAAAAAGAGAGGAGTAACACAGATCTAATATACAGATCTCAATTTCATCAACAAAATCACAGCTGATTGTTTGATAGTGGAAACCGCTATGTGCTTAATATTCTCCCTCACTAGCCGAGCAGAAGCCACAGAGGGCAACAGTCAGCCTTGCTACAGAAATCAGGGCGGGCTGTGGATGTCGTTCTGGCTTCTCACGCCGAAACTCACAGTGTCCTCACTCAGCATCATTGCTCACACTGATTGATCAAAGTGCCATTACTGACCACATCAGAGACAGAGCTGATGATATCACTTTCTGGGGCTGGTTCTAGGAAATGATGGTCTAGTATAGTGCTTTGCCATCATGATAGTGTCCAAGCATGTGTGGGAGCCATTTAATGTTTTACTGCAGAATTACAACACAACACGTCAGCTGCACCGTGACTAAATAGCCTCTCTGTCCAGCGCATGTGCTATCGGGACAAGACGTTTGTGCTCAGCGTGTGTGTGTAATCTCAGAGGCACCTTTTCACTTTCTTCTCGGCTCATAGCCAGGGCCAGCTGCAGTTGCAGTTCCTCTTCTCCAGTGGTAGCAGGCCGAGCTTGCTCCAGGTCTGGAGCCAGTCGAGGAGAAGAAGACGAGGCTATAGGGACAAAGGAATAGCACAGGAGTATTTAGCAAGGAAGGGGGAGCAGAAGAATGTAGAAAGAAACATTGACACAGGGAAACTGAGGGGGGAGGAGAATGAACACCAAAAAATATGGGCAGACTTTTAAGGTTAAAGAAGAGCTAGCACTGTTTTGCATGTTATTTATTTTTTCCATTGCCTGTTGTTCTAGGCCTTTGCTGGCATTGCTTGCCACGGTCTGCCTAACTCTGCCTGCACTGAGAACAATAGTGTGCCTGTGTGGAGAGTGGTGGAGGGGAGAGGAATGGATGGGCTGGAGAAGGGCCCACCGTATTACCCAGAATCCTGTGGGTGTGATCCAGGACTCAGATCCAGGTTTGGGAGAGGGGGTGAGGGGACTGGCAGTATACTGATGTAGGTGCCAGACTGTGGGTCATGTGGCTAAATGAGGGCAGCACGCCACACACTGGCAAGTCAGATCTCAGTAACCAATCATTTCCACTGTGCTGCCCCTCAGTATCCCCCGTCTGAGCTGGAATGCTTACTGGCAATTAGCTGCTGCCAGCCTCCTGACTTTCAGCATTTTGTTTAACACTCCAGCCATGCACTGGTGTCCTGGAGTCTAACAGAGGCCTACTGAATTTACACCAACATATGGTGCATATACATGCACATCATATTTGCTCACACAGACACACATTTAAACACCCACAACACACCTAAAGTACTTCTAAAGTGATTCTTTGTCATCTACACCTTTCTGAACACATTTATTTGGAGAAAGACCAAGTCATTTTAATTCCTCCCTATGATTGCTGGGAAATTATCCAGCATGAAAGCCAGACTCTGTTAAATTGAAGCTTTAAACTTAGCATTTTGTGGTGTTATCGGATGTATTTACTTTTGTACATACTGCAAACCATACTAGTACTGTAGCATCACTGAACTCCAGATGCTGATCTTGGAAGTTCTAACTGCTCAGATGTTTTCACTAGCACTGGAATGTCTGTCGAGTGCAAAATGTACTGCAGAAAAAGAATGTTTAAGGGATTAGTGATAATAAAAAAGCCACATACTGTGGCTCTGTTTACATCATGAAACTGCACAGAAGTGAAGTATAACATTGTAACTGATGCCCTTATGAAGCCACAGCTCTGCTCCTAACCCCCACCTTTTAATAAACACCATACAACCACACATTTGGTGCACACCAGTCGTACCACATTTACAAATGCTACATACAGCTATTTGATGCTTTTCCACAATATGCTTGAACTGTTTACTGTGATTTATAAGCCGATACACACTCACACACAAGATTACTTAGGTCTTACTTAATCTCATCAGCTATCCAAGATCACTACAGTAGCATAATGAAGCATAATGAAGTAAAACATGGTATCCAGTTGTAGCTTCACATTAGATTGAAAAAAAGGAAACTGGGCCTCCTCTCTACTGTCCATCCAGTTTATCTGACACGAGTAAACAGGATAATGAAAGGAATGCATATGCCCAACTGTCAGCAAAGCGTAAAACTGAAACCTTTCTAACAAAACACAAAAGAACAAGAAATTTGGTGACGAGGAGGAATGGTGACGTGCTGGTTAGTGCTGCTGCATCACAGCAAGAAGGTTCTGGCTGTAGGCTACATATCAACCAGTGTACAGAGATTATATAAATGACAGTGTCTCCTAAGTTGACAAATATTTTACTTTTCTGACATCAAATGAACAATCGTAGATGACTGGAAGGTTTAAGGACTAAGAAATGTTGCTGTTCTGTTACCCCGATCGTCAGTAAGAGCTCATATGAATTTATCTGATGAACACAACACTAAATAAACTCACGGCCTGTTGTGTGCATCTCTAAACAATTATCAAGGCCAAAAATGTCACACGCCAAAGGAAATATTCAGATCTCTTACAGATCATTGTACACTTTGAGGAACTAAAGTAAAGTAGGGAATTTTATATTTGGAGATGAGTGTTCTTGTGTTTCATCAAGAATGTATAAAGTTATGTCACAGAGCATATAAGCACATCAGATGTCCCTGCTACTCACAGTGAAAGGAAGATGGTGAGCCTCTGCACCTGCCAAAATCATCCCCGTAGACCCCTGCAGAACTAGGCTGGCTGGTGCGCCGTCCCGGGTATGGAGGAGGCAGGGATCCAGAGTTTAAGCTGCTAGTACCCCCGGACATTCGCATCTTGGTCTTCAGTGCCAGGCTCCTATCCCTCTTCAGCTTTTCCTCATCCTTCAACAGAGAAACCAGTTGCTTGGCCTTCTCTCGGACATTGACACCTTGGTCATGTCCATCCCGATCTATGTACTGGAAGTCTCTCAGTGTCTGGATGGTGTATATGTTCTCCCGGCACTCCCTGGCCACACGCTCAGAGCCTGATTTGATCAGGTAGTCTAGCAGTGTCAGTGCCTTATAAACATGGCGCCAGTTTTTACCGTGATCATTGAGGCGCTTCCAGATCATACCCATAACCTCGGTGAAAGCTACTACATTAAACGTCAGGTCTGCTATTTCAGACATTAGCGAGCTGGACGGTCCCCAAGGGTCATTGGAGGTGGCCTCTCGGACCTTGATCTCAGCCTCCGTGTAGTTGTTTACCATGTTTTTCATCGAGCGGCGAAGTGATGAAGTCTGCATGGTGGCATGTGGTGTTTTACAGGTGGTAAAACGAATAATCTCACAGCAGTCCGGCCCACGGTGTCACCTTAGGTAAGGTTAGAGATCAGTTCAGTGGGAAAATACAAGGAAGTCGTCCTCCTCTTGGCAGCTTTAGTGATGTCCACAAGCGTATTCTTGCTGGAAAGGAACATACAAATAGAATATACAGAAAGATCTGAGCCTGTACAGGGAGAGAACTTTGCCCATTATAAGAAACATGCCACATCTGCACTACTGTTACTCCTAACCTTACACTTACTAATAGTGACTACAGCTCAACTCTCACATCATTTCATTTAGTAACCGTTTCAAAAGAGAGGAACAACTCAGCACCTCTGAGTGATGTGAAACACAACACCTGGGCTCAGTTTTCTCTAAGACAGCTTGAAGAGATCTGTGGGAGAACATACTGTGCATTGTTCCATGAGCAGTGACACAGTAATTTTCTGGATTCAATTGCACAAAATAACTTTTCCTCTCCTGAAAACCAAATATTAGTTCCAGGGACTTGCACTCAACCTGCCGGTGTAGAAATCTGTGGTTTACCTCAACGTTATCAGAAACAGGAGTCCAACTTTCCCTGTTTTTCTGACCTGATTGCATTGCCACAGCAGCAGCTTTAAAGCATTTGAAGACTCACAAAATTGTGACAAAACAGCTGAACCCCTACACATGGATACAGTTTTGTATGTACTATTAAACAAAGCCAATGCTTCCTATGCTGTAAATAGATTACCGAGCGGTAACAGGAGCCAGAATGTTTGTGATGACCAGTGCAACTGGTTCATGATTCACGCTGCTTCCAGATTCCTGGGAGTGCTTGAGAATTTGTAAGGAATAACTAATAAGTCAGTTGGAATGTGTCCTTCCTATACCTTCCTGGTAATGAAAGTTTAAGTAGAGAAAGGGATTTCAATGCAGCTAATGACAGAGACAGCAGCTGTAACAGAAAGATGAAGGAGTTTGTGTCACAATTAAAATCTCTGATTACTGTCACACTTACACTCACAATGAAGAAAATGTTACTTTGTGCCACACTTGGCACTTTGATTACGACTAACACATTATCATCACATCAGTCAGACTGATGGGGGGGCAGCACCGCCTCCCCATCACTACACACTAACAAACACACACCTTTACTATTACTGATTTCCCATAGCTTCTATTGTGACCTTGACACTGTGACACATAAACTCTTAAAAGTCCTCTGACATCCTACTTTAAACGATTTATTAACTTAACCTGCAAAACATATATTCTTGCTCAAATGTTATTATTAAATGATAAAATAAGCAGTTCAGTTCCTAACACTCTACTTGTAGGAAGTAACTCCCGAACCAGGCTTACGTGCTCGTCCAGGTCTATTTCATTCTATGGACATGTGAAGCAGTAAAGCACTTGACCAAAGCACATGTCTCAGTCCAACGTATTTCTCGGACGTCCTTTTTGTCTCAGAGGACATCCGGGCCCATTACCGTGCAAGTTGCGTCAAATGGGACGGTCGGGTAGCTGAAGTGTGTGGCCATGACTCAGCTGTGTTTCCCAGTTTAAAAGTTGAAACCTCGACTAAACCACAACGAACCAGTTCACTGCTTTCACTTTCCCTCTTACCTTGGTGTCACAGCGCGTCTGCGGGATCCCAGCCTGTGGGGAGGCTTCGGGTGGAAGGACCCTCGACATGTCCCGTGGCTTCCCAGTAGAGAAAAGAAGTAGAATAAAAACAGATTTAAGGCACAGGAAATGGAAACATCCGCGGAGAGACGTGTGTACTCAGGATAAATCCCAAACTAAAGCGAGGAGCTGTTAATTTGTTACCAAACTAAGTTATGTGTGTATAATGACAAACCGGGGCTGCGGATGGCACTGGCCCCCACTGAAAAACACAGTGAAAATGGGTGGTGAAAGGGGAGGAGGGGGAGGAGGAGGAGGAGGAGGAGGAGGAGGAGGAAGGCCTCTGCATGCAGAGTCAGGTTTAACCCCTTCACTGCCTGAGCAGGTGAATCACAAGCAGGATTACACGGTGCCGAAGCTAAATCAAATAATGATATGTTACGTGGTGTAAATGGAGGTAAAGTGTTAGGAGTAGCCTACAGCTGTGATGATTCTGCTAATATCCCAAAGAGCACTGCAAGCAACACATTTACAAAATAATACAGAGACTAGACACACCCTACAGGGAAATAAATAGTGATATTACAGGTTCGCACTGGGGGGGAGATTAAATTACATAAAATATGAAAGTGGGTATAAACTGACCACGGACCCTATTATTTCTTAGACAGATATAATAGAAGGGTTATGCTGTAGCACTTCCTCGCTGTGGGAGTGAACATTACAAAGGGAGTCTACAAAGAAACATTTCCCTTTCAAAAGCTCAATCATCTCTGCTCTTTACTTATTTATCACCACTAATGGGATGTTGTCTGAAGTCACATCCTGATGCATTATACAAGACCCAAGTTTTCTCTGTATTTTCATTGTCATGGATTCAGTATTTGGTCCAAAGTAATCTCCAACCAACTCCAAGTTGTATTTGAACGTACAGAAGGATCATGTCACAGTGCTGAGTGACTAATGATTACCTAACTGAGGGAGAAGCAGCAGGAAAGAACCGTGGGTCTTGTGGCTGACAAAGCAGGATATACAGGAAATACCAGCTCCACCTTGGAAGAACAAAGACATAGCAGCGCTCAGACAGACAAAAGGTTAAAGTGTACAGAAATCAAGAGTTCATCAATCATTGTGAAACTGGCTCTCAAGAGGACGTTGGGGTCTTTTCTCATGGCTAGCTAGTATAGACTGGCTTGATGCAACTCTGTGTCATTTTCATTTGACTCTAACCAATCAAGTCAGTTGAGCTCAACTTCATATACCGCCTCTGTTTCCCCTCCTCTTTTATTTCTCCTGAAAGCAGATGCCTGAACACTCTTTGTTTCCCAACAAAAGCTTGACGAGGCTGGGGGGAGCTAGCCAGGCAAGGTCTGTGAAAACAGGAGAGAGAAGACCAGCCTTCTACTACTATAGCCCCACAGTGATGTCATGCAGGACAGGAAACCTGACTTCTTTGCATGTGTCTGGGAAAGAGAAAGAGCATGACAGAAAGATGGCTGTTGCTATAAAAAGCTAAATGAAGGTGTGATCACTGTAATTACCCAAGGATCCTGCACCTAAAGGGTAAAGCTGGTGATTTTCTATACTTTCACTACTGTCAGCAAATCCCCAGAAAAGACCAAAACAAACAATGAATGTGTCCTACTAACATTCAAAACGTGATTCAGCCTACATATTTGTGCCATAGAGCTCAACTCTTTCCAAAACCTGAATGTTTCTACCAGTGGCTCCACAAACTAATGACAGCGGTGACTTTCACAGTCTATGGAGTGGACTTCCTGTAAAGCAGAGGTGTGTGCTCTGAAACATAGTACTGCATTTTCAACTGCTGAAATAAAGTTACTGTCAAGGTAGGTAGGTGTTGGCACCGTCCCTGTACTTTACCCAGTGAAAGCTTGTATATGACGTGTTACATGACTGTGCTTATGCCCTAACACCCTCTAGAGCACACAGTATGAAAATCAGGAGAAATAATCATCAGTTAAACTACTAAGGTCATATTTATATTGGCCTATATAGTCTGATTTCATTCAGAATAAACCTACAATTTTGCCCCCAGAATCTATTATCATAATTTATCGAAGCCTCTACACATCATTAGTCCCACTGCTGAGATCTTCTCAGGACTGTTTTACCTAACCAAACAGGCCTATTGATAGATAAAATCACCGTTTAACATCCAGTGCTAACAAACATGAAAGGCATGTCATTATGGTGCATTAACCATGGCCTAAATTCAACAGTAAATAACTGTAAATGCTGATGCTAGGTAAGGTAAACAAACGAGTCTGACACTGAACATGACCCTATTCTTGACCTGTCCTATTGGGCATTTGTTTCTGTTTGCTGCCCTCTAGTGGAAGGTTGCATTTGTTTTCTGGTACCTAATGTGCTGCCTTTCGCCTGCATCTGTGCTGAAAGCTGGACATCACACATATGCTGACAGTGCGATGATAGAATTAATATATTATATATTGTATATCTTTGTTATACAATGATTTACATAACTACTTTATTTAGATAGCAACTTTCAACAACAAGACAAGTCAAAGTGCAAAGACAATATTATTAAAAAGCACATTAAGATAAAATTGTTTACATTTTCAAATGAAATATGAGATTCAAATAAGCTAAAATAAACAAGAAAATAAAACCAGCAGACTAAATAGTCCCAAATAAAAGGCAGGGGCTGACAGAAATGTGTTAAAACACTGATTTTACACAAGAGTTGTAGCAGTTCTAAAGTTGTCAGGGAGTCTGTTTTAGGTTTGTGGCACAGAGCATAACAACTGAATGCTGCTTCTTCATGTTTACTTTTGATTCAGGGAACAGTAAGCACACCTGTCTCAGATGATCTAAGAGGTCTGGGGGGTTTATAACCTAGCAGCACATTAGAAGTGTCCTAAGGCTTTAAACTGTGTTTTAATAAAGTAAAAGTGACTGGTAAATAACACCAGCCTTATTACTGCACTGTAACTGTATTTCTGGTTATTATTTTATTTATACGCTTTTCTCATTTTATTTTAGTTTTAATGTTTTGATTGATAGATATGTTGCAGTTTGTTGTGTTTTTAAATGCTCTTTTTGAATTGGCTGCTAGCTAATGATCCTGACCGTCCACCAGACAAATGCAGACTGCTTTTGTCATTTTTGTGTGGCACTAAACAAAAACAACACACTGTCTATTTGTCTTACTACATTTGTGGAGTGTTGAAGCCTCACGACAAGTTCAAGTTTCATATTAAACCAGACCACCAAAACTAAAGTACTGCAGTGGGGTGTGAATATGCTCCTGTAATCAAACAGAACATAGTGTATTTTGGTGGTTACAGTAAACCATGAGCCACCGCAGTAGATGTGAGTATTTCATCAACTGATGATGGGGTCCAGTAGTTTCCATAAACACAGAAAGTGGTTTCTATATTTACTCATGTAACCAGAGTGTGAACAGATGGAGTGTGTGTCAGTGCAAATAATCATGTACTGTGACTAGGGGTAGTTTGGCAATAATGACGATACACGACTGTACCTGGTAAAATATAGCAGTAGTATTAACCTTTCTACTTTGACATGGCTTTACTTTGTCACTGTTAAAAGAAGGCCTCGTGTTTTATTGGTTCAATCACCTATATGTGCAAAAAAGTCCTACTATAAATGAATGTTGTATTTTATAAACAAATGCACAGTATTCTATTCTGTGACATTTCTCATGCTTGGTATCAGATCATGTCTAACTCTCTGGGAAAGCTGCTATCATTACAGAAATCCAAAGAGACTTAATTTGGCAGGTTAGTGATATGTACTGCTGAAAATCAGGTGTATTTAACTGTGTTTTACAGCTGAGGGCTTTTACTTCTCAAACATAACTAATGAGTCATTTACTGTGGTGGACCTCTGAAACACATCATCATCAAAATCATATCTCTAGTTCTGGTAATATTAGGAAAAGACATTAAATATCACACTGGTAAAATAATGTTAAGTATGTTTTGAGGTGTTAAAGAAGAACCAAGCTCAGCTACAACACTTGGGCTTCCCTGAGCCCAAAATTAGCAATAATTCACCATTCTCATTTTTGATAGGTATCTCTAAGTTAAGAAAGTATTTCTGATTATGCGTGAGCACTGCAACAACACAGGCTTGTGCCACAGTTTATCTTGCAATAACACATCATCATACATTTCAAGGCCAAAAAAGCATTTCTATTGTCTAGAGCACTGAGCTGCACTTATTGAAATGTGACTGCACTCTACATGGCAGGCAGCCTGTCAGGTTTCCAAGAAGAAACCATTATGTGAGCTGTCCATTCAGAGTGGCCTTGGTTTGTGAAAAGGATGGTGTAATGGAGAAAAAAAAGTTTTCTAATATGTTCTGGCTGGTGCCATGATGAACTGACAATTCAGTGGTTTACAGATATGTAAGATATGATATGCCCCTAAAGCTTTCATTATGTGTTCCCTTGCCAGTTTCTTTGTGGAGAAGAATGTGAATCCACTGTATTTATTGAATGCATCAATAAATACAGTTTTTATACTGTATAATATAATATAACAGAATACATTCACATTCTTCTCCACAAAGAAACTGATTTTGATTTATGCCCTTATTAATTCTATAAATGTAAGAATTTGTCTTTGTAGAGGAAAATAATATTAAATATCCACTGCTGAAGCTGGTGTTGCTGCAGAGGATTCATCATTAAATCAAGCCCCATGAATCACAATGCAGTGAGCTGTGCTCCTGTGTTGACACCAACAACAAGTCGTGATCATTGCAGAAAACAATGAAGGTTATATACAGTATTCTGTTGTGAAAACACATAGTGAAGGCTATACGAACATAAATATAAATAATATAACTTGGTGTGAAAATCACTGTTGTCACTATGGCAGTATTATCAGAAAAAAAGAACCAATGCAATGAATTAGTATTAGCACTTAACACCTCCAGTGTCTGTTTATAGGGGTATTCAGCAATTATTGGATGTTCTGTCTCTTTATTAATCTATTTATCTATTAATCTATTATCTATTTATTCATTATGAATCAGGGAACTGTTGCATGTGCAATGCTAAAAATAGACTGGTGTATTTTATTAGGTTTGAACAGATCAGAATGCCTCAGAACAAAATGTTCAAAAGTACCTCTGAATTGGATCTGAAAAGCTGTTAAGTGAAAACTTTATGTCCAGACAGTTCGTTTCTTGTTTCCAGTTTGTAGTGAAGATCTTATCTGCTTTATGCTTAGAAGGTTCTTTATGTTTCTATAAAGGGAACGGGCTCTCTGGATGACACTCTGTGACGCAGGAACTGTACATGGACTGGGTGTATAAAAGAGGACACTCGGCTCTGTCTCGGCTGAGTTGGTAACATTTTGATAGCACGGAGATGAATGCAACTGAGAGGCTTTACCTCCCCATTGATGGCATCCTGTTCAGCTGTCTCACTGGGCATCACCAACCACGCATTATGCACCTAGTCCTTCAGTCGCTCTGTCAGAGCACAGCCCTTGCCCCAGCGCTGCAGCACCCCCAAATCTCAAACATATCGAAGACAGACATGGGCATCATCAAAACGGTTAAAGGGCGCTGGAGACAACAGGACAAGACTGCGGTTGTAATTAGATCCTCAAGTTCTGGCAATCGGCCGGTATCTAGCGATCAACTCCCATTACGTTCAGTGGATCTGCTGGAGCTGGGCCTGACCAAGCCCAGGAACTGTCACAGAATAGTTGTGCTTGGTGCGCCCAAAGTAGGGAAAACCAACATACTGAGGCGATTCTTGGGTAAAGAATTTGAAGAGCACTATGAGCCCACAACAGAGGACTTCCACAGAAAGCTGTTCTACATATGCGGGGAGGCATACCAGATTGATCTTCTGGACGCAGCAGGCGAGCGAGACTTTCCTGCGAAACGCAGGTTATCTATACTGACAGGTGAGTCTGAAATAACGTCATTATAAAATATATTAACATACAAGCCCCAGAAAATGAGATGACGCCGTTCGTAATATTTAGGCTGACCCGCCATACTTTCTGATTCTCCAGGTGACATCTTCCTGCTCGTCTTCAGTTTGGATGACAGAGACTCTTTCACTGAAGCCTGCGAGCTGCTGAAGGAGATTAAGGCTGCTAAGGCCAAGTTATTAAAATTTAAAAAGAAAGTGCCAGTCGTGATTTGCGGGAATAAAGCGGACCAGGACGCACAGAGAGCCGTCACACGGTCAGAGGTAACAGAAAGCTTCGGTGAGGATGCCTCATTCTTCGAAACCTCGGCTAAAGACGATACCGGACTGGAAGGTATGTTCCGAGCCCTTGCCTCTCTAGGCGGACTACCTGACGAAACCAGTCCGTCACGGCATCAGATCATATCCATCCTCACCTACCAGTCCCTGTGCATCGGCCAGCGCGGTAGGAGAGGAAGTAGGACGGGGGGAGTCGGTGCGCCCTGTGCCGCCGTGGACCCCGTGGCGCGCCGCCCGAGCTTCACCAGCGACTTGAGGCTGGTGCTTGGATCAAGCACCAAACACAACAAACCAGAGAAATGTCAGATTCAATGAATTGTGAGCCTTCTCGATAAACCAATTGTAGTAGTATGCTGCAATGTCCTATAATGTATGGAGTTATACTCTGTAGCACCTGGCTGGACCAGTGCATTTATATTTTGTTTTGTACATGTAACTGCAGGCTATTATATTATCCTATAATAAAGATTTCCATGTGTATTATTGTCACTTGTTTAGTCAGTCACTCATTTTACCAATTTATTTGGTTTCAGACATAGAGTCCGTTTAAGGCAGCGATGTCACATTACGCGTCTGTACGTCAGCAAGTAATTGAATTTCAAGTGATGATGTAAAATCTGAGCATATGTGTGTGGGAGGGAGCTGGGAGAAGAGATGACTCAAACACCGACCTTAAATGTCTTCTCGTGTCTGTCAGGAGAGATTATTCACATTTCACAACGCCCACAACGTTGTGAATTGCCTCAAGGACCGAGGTGTAACAATGCTCTACACACTTGTGTATCACCATGGTACTTGGAGGAAACAAAGAATCAGAGGATCATTTTCTGAAGAGGGGGAGGTGGGCGAGGAGGGGCACAAAATAAACTCTGTGTGAATCTGCACCATGGAGATAAACCACAGATTATTAGAACCAAGCCTAAAATATTCTCTGCCACTGCTGAACAGAAGTTCTTACACTAATAAAACACCAAATAGTCAAATCTTTCTGGCTGTAACAGTAGATTGTCATTAGAAAGTGAGAGGGCAAACATCACTGTTGCTTATCACTTAGTTCCTCCATTATCTGTTGTATGCATTGCTGACTAAAGACTCACTGAGCAACCTGAATGTTCTTTGTAATTAGTACCATACTACACTGATCTTTTTAGAAAAGAATCCAAGGAAACGATTAAGAAAGTATGAACCTATAAAGTAAATCCTCCAAATATTTTTCTACAATTTACTTGATTTATTAAGAATAATAAACTGATGTTAAAGAGAGTTGGAGTCTATTTTCTGAAAGTGTCCAGAAACGACCGTGAAAGCAGGATGTTGGTATTAATTCAGAAGGTATGCTACAGTTTTATATGTGATACGACCATGCACATGCAGCCAGTGCACGTGGTCCAAATAACCACAGTGGAATTTTAATAAATGCTCTGTGTGCTTTTCAAGGTAAAACCTCATCTGTGTGCTGAACATGATTGAGGCTTAAACATAAAGTGGAGTTAAATTCATCTATTCAACAGGAATATTTACAAATGCAGCAAAATATCCATGTATTCACAACACATGCATAGACAGAAGAAGAAAATGGCATTCATGTCAATACAGAACAATTTCCTGTGCACTGGAGCTTTTATTGATGTGCACATAATTATTAATTATGTTTAGATGACAGTAAAATGACTGCGAGAGGTGTTTCTGTGCCAGTGATAATTGCAAAACTGAGCCTGGAGACATTTAATATTCATGCTGCCCTGCACACCAATGTGACGACAATTCTCATCGTCTCCCCCCCCCCACCATTATTACTATGGCCAGAGTCAATATATAAAAGCCTGTGGGGCTTTATTTCTGTGATAACTAGGGCAAGATAAGAAACCAACAGTGATCAGGTTGTGGTAGTTGGAATTATCCTGACAGCTACCAGCAAAGTATCAAATAGTAAGAAATTTAGGAATAGAAATAAGGAATTTAAATTGTGCAGTGTATCAGTATCAGTCTGGTTTTCAGGGTAAATGATGGAGAGCAGCACCTCCAAACAAAATGTGGATACCTTTGTTTACACTTTTTGTCATGTCAGAATGCTGCTCTACTAACATTACTGTCATCGTGGGCTAGAGGCCTGCTCTGTTTGTCCATCACTACTGTGGTTCCTTTGTCGTCTCTGAAGGATCTTTGTTTCCAGTTCCACCAGTAGAGCTGGCAGTATGCTGTCCAGTACGGCCAGTCCATCCCAGGAGCAACGTAGACTTCTAAAAGGAGGGAGAGAGAAAAACATGAGCGATTCAGACAAAGCAGCGATGCTCAGCTCTACACCAATGAAAATGAATAACTTTGCATTAAAGTATAAAATGATCATACAGTCACCTGTCATCAAGAATTAGTTGTCCACTCTGTAGCAACTCTTGGACATCATTAGATTTACCAAAGACTTCATGAAGGCCCAGCTGAGGGCTAAACAGCTCCCAATGCTGTTAAATACAAGAAAACGACCACAAACACAGTCACAGTTCACAACATTCTCTGAATACTAAGCCTTAACTGACAGAGGTGATACCACAGAAATAGTGTTGAACTGAATGTTTTCCATTAGTGTATTTCATGTAGGTAGGAAGGTTTTACTGTGTGTGCTTCACCTTGTGATTAATGCCTTCAGTTGTCCTCATTCCCATCACCAACACCTCCTCCAATCTGCTAAAGAAACATCTTTTATGCCACATCTTCACAGTGACTACACTTTGAAAACACCAAGGACAGAACACAGTAAGTGAATAGACTGAATGGGCGGGTCTTATTATGGTGCTGCACAAGTACAGAATGTTTGAAAGAACAAGAACACACACAGTGAACACTGTGTTTCTCATACTGTGTTACACTGCGCTCAGCGGACTGGCTGATACACAGCTGTTACATTTCACACAGGCACAGAACTTCTGGACTGAAAACTGGAGCTTCCCGCATGTGTAATGGGCAAATGTACTAATTTTAACACTCCTGTGTGTCAGAGCAAAAGCTCACACATCAAGATGGTGAAGCTGAATCCTCCTCCGCGTCCCATGTCCCCTCTGCTGGACTTCACGGATCCATACATCGGGTTCCAGAGTCTGGATCCGGGCCTCCCGGACAACACCTCCCTCCCCTAGAGGAACAAATCGCCCGTGTGCTCCTGGTACAGAGAAAAGCATTATGAGCAACTTTTCATACAAATCCATCTATCACTGCTTGAAACATACAGACTACCTGGGCCGACACCGATGTACTGTCTTCCCTTCCAGTAGCTCATATTGTGATGACTCACTGCATTCTACACAACACAAAAATGTTGTGATCAATCCTCTCAGACATGCTCATGTGTTCATTCGATTCCGGACTTTTTGTTGAACACAGCAAGACAGTCGTAGACAGCATCTTCAGCTCAGCACATATTTTGACAACATTTCTCATGTTTTATAAACTTAACTGAGAAAAAATAACCAACGAATTGATAAAAACAATAAACATGTCTTTTCTAATATCTTTATGAAAGAATCCCTCCCTCCTAAGGTGAGGAGGACGGTGATAAAATCTCATTTTGCTGAGGACTTACATGTCTTGCAAAGTTTGACACCTCGTACTGCAAAAAGCCATGTTGGTGGAGAGTCCTCCTAGCACACTGGTACATCTCTGCTGTCACGTCATCACCTGGCACGGCCACCTCCCCTCGCTGGACCTGTTTAAACAGCTGGGTGCCTCGCTCTAGCGTCAGCTGGTACAAAGACACATGGTCATCGCACACCTTCAGTAGCTCAGACAGCTCGTTCTCCCATGATTCAATGCTCTGTCTGGGACGTCCAAACATGACATCTATGGACACCCTTCCGGGGCACAGCCTCCGAGCCTCTTCAATAGTTTGCAAAGCCTGATGACAACTGTGGTCTCTTCCCAGAAATATTAAGTCATCATCCTGCAAGGACTGAAGGATTAAAAATGTGATATGGGGACTGTATCTACAAAACACACAACTTAGTCCTCGATGAGTCTTCTAAAGACTAGATTTACCTGGACCCCAATGGAGACACGGTTCACCCCAGCATGGCAAAAATCCTTTAATTTTGACATTCCCACAGGAGTAGGGTTGACCTCAAGAGTGATCTCAGCCTTATCAAACAGATTCACGTGCTTGGAAACAGCTTCCAGGATTGCAGCAACTGTTGAGGGGTGAGCAAGACTTGGAGTCCCACCACCAAAAAATACAGAGGTGATGCTGTAAATGAAATCAAAGGAGAACGATGAAGTCGCGTGTTGATCCGATACTGGACGAGTTCATGTGGAATAGCTAACAAACGGCCTTACCTGGATACCTGGCTGAGCTGCAGCAGTGTCTCGGTCTCCCGTTGAAAGCACTGGGTCATGATGTGGCTGTTGTCTTCTCTGGCTATGTACTTGTTAAAGCTGCAGTAGGAGCACCTCCTGAGACAGTAAGGCCACTGTAGACAGGAGGAGGGACATTACTTTGACATTATGTGGGCAAACCTTCCTGTATTTGTAAAGATTCTAACCCCCCCCCCCCCAAAACACCTAGTTCACTAATTAATTTCATGGTCATGCATTTGCAGAAGTATGTGTAGCTCTGCACAGAAATATTTCATCAGTTAAATCGACTAAAATCCAGCTCACGTGTACGTAGAGAGACGCCTGCTTAGTGTCATGTGGAGAGTCTGTCCCATCACACACGTCTTCAGTTGTGTCTCTGCCAGAAAAATAGCGCACACCGGGAGAGAGGACACGTCTAACCGCAGGAAACGTGCGTTTGATCATTCTAGGGACAGGATTTGTCTTGAATATATGGCTCCTACAAGCAGCAGCTACTGGGGTTACGGTTGTATCGGGGTTTCTGGGACAGCGATGTTACGATGTTAAGTCATTTTGTCTGTTTACATAATCTCTTCCTGGTAGCTGGTGACGTCGCTCTAAACAGGAAACACGAAAATGTGATGCGCGCTGTGGTTGTTACACAGTTTCACCACACGGAGGCGCTCCTTGTCCTCTAAAGAGTTTACACTGTAACATCAGGTGATAATGCGCACTGTCTACTCTAATTGTGCAAAATGTGCGCGAGTGAGTGGGTTTAAGTTGGGGCCTATTTCTAGCTGAAATAGAACTAACCATGGTTAACGGATTTAATTACTTGTACCATTAAACATACAAATTAATGAACTTATTCATCTTCAGTTAAATATATGGAAATTTATACAATATATGTTTATACACTATCAGCAATGCAGCTCTTCAAATTGTACATTTTGTATGCCACTTGTCCACAAGCGTGCCAACTTTCAGGTTGATTTCAGGTGTAACAGTACTAGTATTTCACAAACAATTAGTAAACTGTTCGTATTTTGGCCACCACAGTGGTGTGCACATTTTGTGTGCCCACGCCGAATTTTTTCCGAAACCCCTCCAAAAAGAATATCACATGCTTTTAAGTGTTTCAAGAAGATTAATGCAATGTAGCTTTCCTTGTTAATGAATGACTAATGGTGCTTGAATGTTGACTGGTATTTACAACTTGATTGCTCTGAGGAATAGAATTATTAAGGAAGAGAAAACTCCCCAAGTCTCTCACTAAAACATCTGAGTTACATGGACTCTTGAAGCTCTCTGGAGCTTTAAGACTCATATATGCAAAATTTGATAATGCAGTGAAGTTCTCCTAAAATTAGCGATATGCTAACAGTATTTTAAATTGAAATATACACTCATCCGTCACTTTATTAGGTACACCTATGTAATGTTATGCAATTCAATGCAACACTTCCTCCTTAACATCTGTATTATGAAGCTCAAAAGGTTTCAATTTTTGCTGAGATTGTCACCATTATATTTGGAGGTGTTTCTATATTTTTGTCCGCCCCAGCTACATACATGAGAGGGGCAGAATATTAGGAACACCTCTGAATATAATGCAGTGCAGTAGAACACCACCTTTAACTATAACCTCATTAATGAACACATAAACAAGTTTACCCATGTATGAAAATTTCAGCAAAACTGAAACATTTTGAGCTTCATAAACTGCGAAGGTGGAAGTGTTGCATTGAAATGCATACAATTGTACAGGTGTACCTAATATAGTGGCAGCTGAGTGTAGATGTGAATTTAAATAAACACCCATGACCTCAGAGCATGTATTTATACGTGAATCCAACCTTTGTGGTGGCCCTTTTGCACGAGGGTGCATTATGAGCAAGTGTTTGCAAACAGTGATAGTTGTTGTTGCTGTGACAATACATAAAGACACTAGGTGATATCTGGAATATAAGTTCATACTCTACTCACATAGGACCAAACTAATTTAATGAGCTATTGATTTCCCTGAAATAACATCATGGAGTCCCCACTTAAAACCAGATTATTAATTAAACAGTGTGTGTCAGTAAATATAGAAATGGGCCAGTCAACATCCACAACATAGGACATGTTTCTGCTTTCATCCCTGTTATATTATTTACTAATTGTGACAATTCACAGTAATGTATTGAGTAATTAATTTAGGTATTTCATAATCGGTGTCAATAAACCTGAATGCCCTTGCTGTCAGGTTCCATCCCTGAGGACATTTTCCACTGAATAATAAATCAGATACCCGTTTGCCTCATGAACAGAAAGACAGAGACACACACACAGAGACAGAGAGAGCAGCATTAGGGTAAAGAATAGGGACCTGTTTTCACTGAATACATGCAACAGTTATGGTGATAAATTAAGCCCAGTGAGAAGCTTGTGGTGGGTCTGTGCTGTAAATCAGCCAAATGGATAAGAGGAAGAAAGGTAAGCTCCCTGATTTAATATAAAGAAATATACCATGGAGATAGATACTCTACTTCACTTTAACTCAGACAACAACTAAAAGGGGGTCATATGCCATCCTTTGTATAACTTGTATGATATATAATTGATACACTGGAGGTGAGCATGACTTTTCTTTTGAGGATCCTACTTTCCTCTCTATATTTGTATGGCAACACCTCTCTGTTCTTAAATGTCAACTTAAAACTCGTTTTTATTCTATTGCTTTTTTCAGTGTTAAGTTTATTTATTTATTTCTTTTTCAGTCTGTTTCAAACTCACCCACTCATAGTCAGGAGGTCACAATCCTCTTTATGGTTTATGGGGATGTTTCTTTTATCTTCTGTCTTTTTGTAAAGCGCTTTGGCCAACTTCTTGTTGAGCTTAACTGCTATATAAATAAACTTTACTTCCCAATTTCATATGAAACAAATATAAAAACAGTATACAGAAACAGTAATTTGTTTAATAAAATGTACATTATCTTATTGCATTCAAAAGTGTTTCAAATTCAGCTCTCCAATTCTCAGGATCTATTATGGAACTGAGGCTCATGGTGGTTGGTAGCAGTGGACCTTCTCAGTTTCTGCTAACCAATGCCATACTTGCGAGGGAAGAGTTTTCTGAGGA